AACTCTATGCTGCCTCTTTAGAGTATCTTTAGAGTATTTATGTATAAAAATAAGGAATTTTAGGGGTTTTTATTGGGGGGGAGGGTGTAATTCTATCCAGTTGTATTTATCACAATTGCCAGCCCTTTATAGGATCATTGGGCTTTGTACAAATAGCAAATCACCTAAAGAACTTGGCTATCACTTCAGTATCCTTTGTATTGGAAATACAATAAATAATTTCCAATGGGCTTCCTATTTAGAGGGACTTGTTTAAGCTGTTTATCTTTGAGAGTCCCAATTACATATTTCATGGTTTTCTCAGATAGAAAAAGCTGTGACCCTTTAAACAGAAATCTTCTGAATGGAAACAGTAAGGAAAGAATGGCTCCAGGAGTAACTAAAATGTCTTTTGACCTTTTTAAGAGTTTAATAACAATCAGAAGCATTATAAGGCTCAGTAGTAATAAATTGCTTTTATAAGAGTATGAATCTTTAAGTTGAAAAAATAAGTTAAAAATGATGATTAGCATGTAAAGGTGGCAATTATTTTGGGTAAAGGCAAAAAAAAAAGTGCTATAGACTGTAAAATCTTGCTGAGAATCATAAAGCATACCATCAAGAAAAAGAAATAAAGCTGTTACTGATGCCTGAAAACTCCTTCCCAGGATGCAACTAATTCTTCCATTAATAAATGCAGTGTGTCTTTCATCTAAGGTATAAATATCAGAAGGGTAAGTAAATTATTTTCTTATTAAAGAATGAGACTTGTGAAAACGTAATTGCCCTGTGAAGGCCAAGAAGAAAACGAACTATTTAATGACGTGGAAAACTCCAGCCAGGCCTACATCAAAAGCTGAGCAGAGCCCCTCAGGTATGGCCGAACTGTGTATTACTCAGAACCTGAGGGGGAAGCATGCTAGGGTTCAGATCCAGCACCAGGAAAATCACTTCACAGGTGTCATACCCATAATGCGCAGAAAGGAATGCCTTAGGAAGACTACTGAAAGGCCTCTCATTGTCAGGTAGCCACTGAATTAAAAGTTCAGACAGTATTTCTAGAGTCTCTTTTGTTCTAATATCCAACACTGAGTGGAATAGAGAAATTCAGCAGTGACAATAAGTTTTAAGAATGACAAAAATCCTATATAATAAAAGGCTAACATGCAAATTGTCCCTCTGACTGGGATGTTGCCCGAGGCTCCTCCTCCCAGCCAGCCTGCCCTGATATGTCCTAATCAGGGAGGGCCAGCCAGACTCTACCTGTGCACGAATTCATGCACCAGAACTCTAGTAAAATAAAATAATTAGTTCTTATACCCTGCCTATTTTTGCAAAACTTCCAAATACCTTTAAAGATATCAATAATATATTTCTATTCTTTGGTGTTTTAGTTGACGACTCCAATGTTCATTTGTAAATAACTCAGTGATATTTGTCCCTATTCCTTTCTATTGATAAATATTTACTTTTAACTAACAAGAGTATTTTTATGTTAGGATTCTGCCCTTCTGTTACATTTTAATATACCTACTTTCAAATTCCAAAATAAGAAAAAACATTTTAAAAAAAAAACATTTTACTACCATTAGCTTTTGGGTAAGAATTTAACCTCTGCTTCTAAGGATGGGGACTAAAAGGAGGTTGGGGGTGGGGGGGGAGCAGGAGTAATCTTCAGTAGCATTATAAATATTTTTGATCATGCAAAGCATAAATGCATATTGAAATATATAGAACCAAAATAGCAGTCAACTGGATTATGTTTTTTCATGTCTGTTTTTTTCCTTACAAAATAGAAACAGGAACCCTTACTGTCCTTCTGAGACAATTTCTTGATGAGGTGATGATGGTGATGACAACAAGACTATAAAGATACCTGACAGGTTCTCAATGTTTCATATATGCCAGTTACTGTGACAAGTGCCTTACCTGGCTCACCCTGGCACAGCCTTCTGTGACTCTACACTCTGGTGCAGGAACAAGGCTGAAGGAGGTGACTCACAGCAGAGCCTGACCTCAGTCTCAGCTCAGTGCTAATCACTCCACCCACAGCATCCCTCCTCAGCCTCAGCACTCTTGATCTGGAACTTTGGGCAGTGTCCCTCTACATGCACACGTGGGCTGCCTCCAACATTGACGGGTCTGGCTCCTACCTGAGGTTTGTGGCCATGAATTTAAAGTACACTACCAGTGAAAACAGGGTGAATTAGCATAAGTCAATTTGTATCACACACAGCAATGACATTAAAATATGTGTGAGAAAAGTTGCAATGCACCTTTAAGTATGCTTCATTTTACAGTGTGGTGTAAATTCAACTTCTCTATTTTTCCAACACCACATCTGCTGAAGCAGTAAACTCATTCTCAAACTCTCAGCAGAAAAATGAGGCAAACAAAATTCTCAGCTTTGGAGCATGGCCTAAGGGCTAAAGTTGACTTCAGCTACTGACCTGGAAAACCATGACCAAGTAGCAGGGTGTTATCACCATAGTTAAAAAGGTGGTGGGGAAAGAAGCTATTGTAGCTGTGCACAGTGATAAGAGGCTGGATCAGCTGGGCTGGCTAAACCTGAAACAGAGAGGCATCCCAGACAATGGCTATTCTCATGTCTCTGGGTCATGTACAAATGAACAATGTCAAGATATGATCAAGACCTCTTCCATCAATGATTGCAATGGTCCCAGAGCAGGACAAACTGGATGGGATGCAAATGGGCCAGAACAATTGCAACTTTAATAGTATGAAGAGGATTTTCATGCATTGAGGACAGAAAAAGCCTGGAGAACATAGAGTTTGCAGAGAACAGGAATTTAAAAGAGAATGTAGCCCAGAAATTAAAAAAAAAAACAACAAACAAACAAAAAAAAAAAAAAAAAAAAAAAAAAAACAACAACATTGGCACAGAGCCATTCACCATTAAAGACAACCTTCATTCCTCAAGTTCAATTTTATTTTACCACCTGGTATATTAAAACAACCTGCTGATTTTTCCAGGTTTCATAATGGCTATTCTGGAGTTTAAAAGTCATCCCACAGTAATCTATGTACCATAATGATAACTTAACCAATTATTTGGCTACACAAAATGCAAAATAAATTTTAGAGATCTGAAAGCATGTTCCATCGGATTGTGCGGGTCTGTAGCAGTACACTGTTCTGTACCGGGGTCAGCTAATTTAGGATACAATGGCAGAAATGAATAATTGTGACAGACAGTATGATCAGCAAAGCCTCAACTATTTACAATCTGGTTCTTTGAAATAAAAAAAAAAGTTTTCCCATCTCTTGGTCTATCCAATTGTACTGTTTTTTTGTGGGTTTTTTTTTTTTTGTTTTTTTCCTTAAGCTGCTCCAAGTCCTTTTTGGAACGAGGTAAGAATGTCAATGAGCAAATAATCACTTTCCAACAGTGGCTTCCTTCTTGTTGTGAAATATGGGGGTTTTAATGAAGGACAGATCTAAGGCTGACAGTCATGTGATGGATCGTGCCCCCACAGAGGGAGGCCTCACCCACCCGCCACAGCCCTCTTGTAGGTGGCCTAGGTCTCCCGCTTGGGGGCAATTGTGAAGCCCCCCATTGACCAATCACCCCAGTGGTTGGTGGCCTGGGCCTCCCTCTGCAGGGCGATCATGGGGCAATGGCAGGGCCCAGACCAATCGCATCGCCCCCTCCTTGGCTGGCCTGGTGCCTGTGGGTGTCATAGCGTGGTCGTCCAGAAGGTCCTCTGGATGGTCATTCTGTAGTTAGGTCAACTTGCATATTACGCTTTTATTATTATAGACTAAGATGGTAATGCCATATATTGTAGTGACTCCGTATTCTATTTTGTTTTTCTGAAATATGCTGGTTTCCCTGCTTTATTATCTGATGAACTAGCCTGGGCTCAAAGTGAAGAACTTGTTTTTCGGCAGAGAGCTGATTTTTTTGTGCAGGTTTTTTGTTTGTTTTCTTTTTCCTGGGTCTCCAGGGGATTTCTCTTGTGCCTGCACAGTTTGTGATTAGCCAGTGATTTCAACAGAGGGTGTATAGAGACAGCTTAAGCCAGTGAAGTGTTGTCTGCTCTCTGCTACCCAAACCATGTATGGGGATGGAACTCATTTACACTTGCAGCAGATAAGTTAGACTCCTCACACTTTCCATTTGGCATGTGCCCCCGTGGGAGTTCCATGTACACGTGCTGTTCAGTAGTCAGCCATGAATGCGAAGGGAGCACCTTATCTCAGCCTTTGCATAGCTCTTTGCTTCCAAATCTCCTCCTCAAATTTCTAGCTGCTCGGTTACTCCCCCCAAACCACATCAGCCAGCTTTAACCAGTAAACCTGTTTTTAACACTGGTATACGTGTGTTGGGAGGAGGGGGTAATAAGAAAATGGGGAGATGAGAATACCCTCTGGCATCTTACCCAATTCAGTAGCAGCTTTTCATAAGTAAGCATTTTCAACTTCTTTGCTGTCTTTGATTATTTTTGAAATAGTTGCAATCAATAACTCTTGTAGTTTTATACTGTTTTTTTTTTTATGAAGTATCATCCAACTGAGGCAGGCAGCCATCAGTGAAGCAGAGTCTTAACCATAATTTAAGCACTTATGATGTATTATCAGGATCTCATTGAACATTATATGAGATGTTCAATGAGATCCTTATAATATATTCAAAAATTAGTCAACCACAGATCAAGAAACAAATTTCTTGCTTGTAAAAAAAATTAAATTTCAGACCTAATTTCTATAGGTCAAATTATCAAATATCTGTGGTAGAAACAGTAAAAGAAAAATGTAACAGTAAAAGAAATACAATATAAAGAAATATGATGTGATCACAGTCTGTTAATCCCACTAAGGTCTTTCAAAAAATATATATACCTACCAGGAAAATTTTAAATATATGAAGTTTTTTAGACAAAAGAGTCAATTTGATTTAGACCCAATCCTCCTGTTGAGGGGGGAAAAAGCATTATTGAGTACAGACTATAGGATATCTCTCTTGAAACGTAGAGTTCATTGACATTTAAGAAAATTACCTTGAAGGCAGCTAAACAATGCAGGCTCAGTAAGGTCATCACTACTGCCAAAAGGATGGTGGCGAGATTCCGAATGTCCCAGATGGTCTCTACCAGAGGAATACTGCCGACCTGCCAGTCATAGCACAGGGTAATAGGTGCAAGCAGAAGCCACACGTTGAAGGCCAAGAGGTAGGAATACGTAAGGAATCTACAAAGAGAAGAAGAACTGCTGAGACATAACTCATGACCCATGATATTATCTAAACATTCATTCACCCTGTTTCTATTAAACAGCATTTCTACACTGTCAACATTATCTTATAGGAAAAGGCAAGGTAAGATGGAATTCCTTTAGTCATTACATTGATCATTTTGGAAAATACCTAATAGTTTCTAGTCACTGCGGTAGATGCTGGCCTTTCAGTGGTGAACAAGACAAGACCTAGTTTCCAGGACAAATACTTTAAAATTATCATGCAAGTAAATATACTGTAACCTGAGATAAATGCTCTGAAGGAAAAGTGTGATGAAAGCATATGACAGAAATGCTGCCCTGTTGGGTATGATTCCCCAGGTAAGAAGCATGTGAACTGTCCATCTTTAATAGTTCTCAAACACCTGTAGTAGATATGAAAATATTTAATCATTTTAATAACAGAATGATTATCATTGTATAACAAGTTGACCCATATTGAATTATCTCCAAATTATCAAATATCTGTGGTAGGAAGATAATGTCTCTTATTCCCAAGTGGAGAGACTAGCCATCCAGAGGAGGCAAGTCCCACTGTCCTTGCTAAGACAGGAACAGCCAGCTGGGCCTAGGGGAGGGGAATACTGAGAGGAGGTGTTACTCCCGTTTCCTGGCTGTGTCTAAGTACTACCAGACAGTGAAAAACACTCTAATCCCATTCCTTTGATGGTAGAGTAAATGGAATTTATTTAAATTTATTCAGTCAACACACATTCATTAAGTAGTGTTCTAGACCCCTGAGAACTGCAGAACTCTCATCACATACCGAACTCCATCCAAACCTCTGTACTAGGAGAGGACCAAACCCTAGCACTGACCCTGGCAGTGTAAGGCCACATGCCTAGGACGACCCCAGCCTCCCATGAAAACGCTTGGCTGAGAAAGCTCAAAGTGCCAGAAGAGTTTACTGTGTTGTGTTCTAGCTCACACTTGAGAAGAGGCCAGCCAAATCCCATTCACTCTGACTGACCCTTGGTCGTTATTCACCTCTTTGACTCTGCTGGGCCCCACCTTGGCCCCCTCTCTCATTCTCCCTTTAAAGTTTCTAGTCATCTCAGCATAAGTGAGAATGGTGCTCAGCTCTTCCCGATACTATCAGTAGTTACAGAATAAAATCTGTGGTCACTGCCCTAACTAATGTCCACTGTGCTTACCTTTGACATTCTAGATGGGATTAAACAGAAAAATCAGGTAAATTCCTTGACCCAGTATGGAAAATAAGATGTACAGAATTAAAGAAGCCAAACAAGATGAGCTCCGTAAGAGTGCCAAATGTGAAGAAAAGTCGCCACCTGTTTCTCTGATTCTTCTGGAGGGATTCTCCACGTGGTTAGATCAGAGAATTCCTACATTGCCTTCCAGTGTGATGAGTCAAATCAGCTTGCACTCCTCTCCACATTAGCTGCTTGTTTGGAACATCCTTCCCAATTCCATCTCCTTCCCTTTCCTTATGGGGATTATTCATCCACCCAACTCTCAAATTCCAACAGAGGAACGGATTGAAGGAATAGAGATATTGCCATGGTCTTTCCCAACACTCATCTCTGCTGTTTTTAATAAAATGTCAATGTGCCAATAGTGGAGTATATATTGAAATCTTGAAGAAGTCCACGCTTTGTTATTTAACAAAAATAAAACAAAAAATTACTGTCTCCCTTTTAGGCTTGGGTCTGAGAAATTGTTTTATGAGAATATCAACTTCATGGACAGGGGATTGGATCACTTTGTGCCTCTATTTTTCACAGGACTTCTAAATGACCTATTTCTTAGCTCAGTAAAATTCTCTGTGACAGCTTTAAAGAAGAATGCTGAACCATCAAACTTAGCAGGCAAGACACACAGCTTTGTCACTCAGTGACACCCCAGGCCTCAAAAATTACTTTAAAAAATAGTATCTCTTTTTCTTGATATAACAATAATAAGCAATGCTTATAAATGGCTGCAAAAACGTATTAGGTGAACAGCTGATGGGATACTTTATAATGAATGGATCAGGCTAAATCAGGTGCCTAGAACTCGCTAAATAATTTCAATGTCACAGAAGGAGACCAACAGCCAGCTATCCTCCTGATGAATATAGATACACATATGAAGCAGTCAGGTAAAAAAAAATTTAAACTTGAATCTGATCAAGCCCATTTGTTACCAGTTCACATCAAATACAGAAAATACTGGAACATGCTAAAGGACACCACAGGCATGCAATATGCAAAATCTAGAATGTTGCAAATTCTAAAACCCAAAGGATGGCGGCTTCTTCAACAAATAATGGTGGTGGGATAGGGGTAGGGCAGGTGGTAGAAAGAAGAGTAACACATAAATTAAGAGTCTTAAAAGACATATCAAACAGAGTACAGCTTTTGTTTAGATGCTAACTCAGACAAACAACTATTAAAAGTAACCACCGAAGAGACAGAAAAAATTGAAACACTGATTGGATATATGATACTGGAAAATCATTGCTAATTTTTAAAGTATGATAATGGTATTGCGGTTCTCTTTAGTAAGGGTCCTCGTCTTTTAGAAAAATATATGAAAATATATGCTTATCAAAGGTTCTGATATCTGGTATTTGCTTCACAGTGATGAACTGGAAGTAAGGAGCAAGAAGTGGGTGGGGTATGAATGAAAAATTGGCCATATGTTTGGATTGCTGAAACTGGATAAGGGGTGCACAGGGGTTCTTTATGCCATTTACTCTACTTTTGCACAGATCTGATATTTCCATAATAAAGACTAAATTTTTAAACAGGCCAAGAAGGCAACAACAGAATTGCAACAGGAATATTTGCATATATTATAGCTGCAAACACCATGCAGAATTTTTTTATTTGAATGTTAGGTTCATATTCCCCCTTGCCCTGCAAGTTGCCCTCACTTTATGTTTTTGAGACTTGCAATATCATACTAACAAAAAAGCAAATAAAGAATATTATTTTTTTAAAGTTAGAATTTCAACTTTGTTAGGATTTTCAAAAATGCTAATTGTGACTGTTGACACAGATTGTAACCAAAATTGGTTAAAAGAGTAATGTAAATCACCAATTAAAGCAACTTTCCTTCTTGTAAAACTAGATTAAAGTTAATATATCACAAAACTGTCAACTTACTCTTTTTAATACAAATGTACTGCTTCCAGAAACTCAGAGATATAACCTACCTTTCACTGCATATGATTTCAATGCTGATAATAAACGGTTGAAATATTATTTGGAATACTAAAACAACACTGCAAAATTTGTACAAATTTAAGTATAAAGAAGGTACTTGAAATCTCACCAAAAGCTAACTACATTTTTAAGGGGCTAATGGAGCTAGTTGGAATCAGCAATTAAATTATTTCTTCTCAACTCATTGACTATCAATTACATTTCAAACTAATCATCTTGTTTATTTCTGCTAAAATTTCAGAAATGAAATGATATGTGGAGTATCTCTGTTCGACTGGAGCTCCCTTTTTTTAAAGCAGGAGCAAGAACAAAATGAATTATTGACCAATTTTCTACAATGAATTCTGCTAACAGAAGGGAAGCGATTGGAATATCTTGTGGGGGGAAATGGGATATACAGCACAGGAAGCTAGGGCTTCAGCTTAAACAATTCAGTCAGGTATTTCCACTGATCAGCCAGGAAATCCATGCAAAGGAAAAGGAAGACGAGGCTGTGGGGAACTGCCATGCATCAATGGGAACCTAATGAAACTGTGAGGGTCTTTAATCTAAATCTTCACTTTTGTCAAGAAAAAAAATTAGAGTGCTTGAAGTGCAAAAATATACATAGATTCTGTTCTTTGCCTTTGAAAAGAACCCCTCTCTCCCTATTTTTTTTTATTTTTTATTTTTTTTTTTGCTAAGAAATAATCTAAACCTAATGTATTTTCATACCCTAGGAAGATGCCCATGATAGCTACATATGAAAAATCAGGCACTACATCAAAGTACAGCACTTGCATGTTTTATATGAAAAATGTTACTGCCCAAAGGATCCTTCTTTTTCATTCACCCCAAAATCCTTCACTGCTTCATAAATGTTACAGAATATGGACTGGCGATATCCACCTGGTGGCCTCTTGGGAAGGACAGTGGCTAAACTGTCAATATACCAGCCTTAGTGTGCACCACCTTTACCGCCACAGTGGATGTCCCCAGGCTAGGCCTCTACCTACTAGTTTGAGAGATCTGCCCTGCCCTTCCCTAGGCTGTTCCCTATTTCCAGCTCCTGAATTTCTAGCGATGCTTCCAAGGACCTCCACAGTCTCACTGTGCCCAGCAATAATGACAGAGTTTCCAGGCTTAACTGGCTTCTATCACCACCAGTATCTTCTTCCCTGCCTACCACCTGCCCCAGGACAGCCAAAGATGCCCCTTCCTACACTCTCCCTCTTGACAGACAGGAGAGCCTCGCCAGAATTCAATAAGCCCTAACCGGTTTGGCTCAGTGGATAGAACATCCACCAGCAGACTGAAAGGTCCCAGGTTCAATTCCAGTCAAGGGCATGAACCTTGGTCACTTGCACATCCCCAGTAGGGGTGTGCAGGAGGCAGCTGATTGATGTTTCTCTCTCATCAATATTTCTGACTCTCTATCCTTCTCCCTCACTTTCTGCAAAAAAAAAAAAATCAATAAAATATATTTAATAAAAACAAAGTTGAGTAATTACTTTGCACTTCTCTAAACCCTGAAGAAGAATAAAATCTAGTCCCTTACCCTCTCTCATCAAGCCAAGGTTTAGCCTCCATTGAGCAAATATGTGCTGACTGCTTACTGTGCATCAGGCACAGGATTCCAGATTCCCATACAAGAATCCCATTGCTATACTAACAAACTCCATCCCACATTAAAACCCGTAAACATGTCCAGCATTTTCCAGCTCATAAAGAATTTGCATCTAAGAATTATCTAATCCCAACATGACCTTTATGCCATGGCTATGACTCAGTTTCCCAGGAAGGGGAATAGCCTTGAGGAGGCTGAGACTTGTTCCATGTCCCACTGCAAGCTCATAGCAGAGCCTGCACACAGGATGGGATTTTCTGGCTCCACAGTCTCCCTGTTCGATTCCTGTGATGTGTAGTCTTCCATTAGCACTCCTTTATTAAGGCAGAGAACTGAACGGCAACATGATGGATCAAATATTGATATTTCATGGAGAATTACCTGTTGGAGACCCTGATTTATTCTTTGAACGGTGCAGTACAGAAGAACCTTTAGCTAAAGCAAGGCTGACATAAATTTGAAACCAGAGTGTAATGTCGCTTACAACACAGAAAACAGATGAGCAGCACACAACAAGAAAGAATCCTTACCTAAAAGCCTGGGCCTCGTGTTATTCATTATGAAGAGCAATGTTTGCTTTTCTGTTCTAATGTTAGCAAAAAACTAAAGAACTTCTTTAATTGTTATCAGCTTCTTGGGGATTTAAGATTGTAATGGAAACACAATATGTAGATGTAGATAATTACAGCATTTTCTGCAAGATGCTTGCCCACAACTGATCCCGAGTCTGGAGGTAAAATTGCTACCTCCACAGGCTCCCTCTTCCGACTACCTCCTCTCTCTTCTTTCTTGTATTTCTCCCCCTCATGTCGAGGATCCAATACAAATTAGATATATTACTATTGCACAGTGTCATTTCATTTGACAAAACTAAACTCGATGACCATTATCATCTCTTTTATCCCTAAGAAGCTACTTTTCTATGAACATAATACAAAATACATAGTGGGGACCACAGCCCCCTTGTAGAGAGCTCTTTGGCCACAGAGGAGACAGTTTATACCTGAGCATTTCAGAAAGAGTGACACACACCACCCTCCAAACTCACTTAGGCTGCTGGTCAAATAAAGATTCTCTCCCCTGGCAGGAGTGTCTCAGTGGTTAAGCATTAACCTATTAACCAGGAGGTCAGAGTTCGATTCCTGATTCCCTCTTATCATTGATGTTCACCAAAACGAAAAAAAACTGTTGTGCTTTAAAGGACACCATCAAGAAAGTGATACAATTCATAGAAAAGTAGAAAATGTTATAAAGTATATATATATACATATATATATATACATATATATGTATGTATATATATATATATATATATATCAAGATATAATAAAAAAAACTATTATAACTCAATAATAAAATAACAAATAGTCCAATTCAAACCTAGACAAGAGATGTGAATAGACATTTCTTCAAATATGATACAGAGATGGCCAATGTGCCCATAAAGAGATGCGAAGATCATTAGCCATTCAGAAAATGCAAATCAAAGCTACAATGAGATGCCATTTTACAACCACTCATATGGCTATAATTAAGACAAACAAACAAAAAGATTATCAAAGACTAGTGTTGGCAAAGAGTTTCAGAACTGAAGTCAGAAGAAATCATATGAAACAATGTAAAACTTGGCCAAGCTACTCTTAAAAGTTATTAGAATTTTTAAACTATATTAGTTAGTAACTATAGTATTGATAGAGTCATTTACTAAACATACTTTATAAGAAGATATAGTACTTGAAGGACAGAAGCAAAGATGCTATAAAAGTTGTTTGGATTCATACATACAATCAAAGAGATACAGTATTAATGAGACAGAGTGACAGAGCTGAATGCCAAACCTGTGATTAGTAAAGACGGATTCACAGAGCTGCCAAATCACAGCTAAATCACAGTTGATGAGGAAGAAAGAAACAACAACAGAACTAGGAAACAGACCAAGGTAATCCAATTTAAGAATCATCAGCTTAACAGGGGTCAAATAACTTAGGCAAGCAGAGTAGAAACCTTATTCGGGAAAGGAATTGAAGACAAGTTTCTGGATGCTGGAAAAAGAGAACTACAGTGCTGCCATGTTAAAGAAATGTGAAACTCCACATATAACAAGTGTACTGAAATGTCCCTGGGCATCTGTGTATTTTAAGCACAAAACACAGGAATAAAAATTTTGTTTAGTGTAAAGAAAGGAGAGGAAGACTATACAGGTGTAATAGGATATTCTATTCTGTATCTTTTTAAAAAAATAATTCTTTATCGTTGAAATTATTACATGTCCTCTTTTTCTCCCACTGCCCGTTCCCATCTCCCACCTATTGTCTGTGCCCATGGGTTATGCATACAAGATCTCTGTATCTTTATATTGTCGGAATTGCCTTAGGTGGATTTATAGACAGAAAATCCTGGGTCAAATGTTATCAGACTCCTCTAAAAAATGTACATGTATGCCTTGGAAGTAAATGCAGAACTTGACTGATGACTGGTCCAACATACTAATTTTGCCAGAGGTTCCACCAAAGAATTTTTTTTGCCCTATCCCCTCCCTGACAGTACAGATAGAGGGGCACCTCGTCCTGACACCATGGACCTGGGGCCAGGCACGTGTTTACTGATCAGAGAAGATATCAACAAAATAATTGGTTGGTGAGTTGAGAGGAGTCTGTTCTTGTTCTCGCCCATCTGTTTATTTGACTGCATCTGGGCTTTTGGAGACTGATAATGCAGGGAACAGGCTGCATCTAACTACAGAGATAAGAATACATGCTCAAATTCAGGAGACCAGAAAGCTTGGAGGAAACCCAACCCAACACTAAAGCAAATGGAGCCATTAAGTAAGAAAGAGGATCTGGCCAAGCTGTTTTTTCTCTTGAAAGCAGAAAGTACCTATTTCGGGAGCTACAGAAACTAAAACAATTTATCAATGAGCTAAAAATGCCCAGCCAAAGAGCCCTGGAGATTTTGAAAGCCAGCAAGAGATGCCTAAAAAGGACAAGTAGATTGCAGCATTAACAAAAATCTGAGTTAGAGATGCCAATCTTAATTAAAGGTTTAATTAAACAACATCTTGAAAAATATAAGCTTTAACAGCAATTTATAAGACTAAACTGCCTCCAAGGGATAAGCTGACACTAGAGGTTGAATACCATATAATTTCTGAAGGTATATTCAAGAATTTTAAAATATGTTGTAAGTAATGAAAACAGTCGTGACATAATATCTATTAAAACAGTTTAATCAAATGTGAAGGTATCCTTTTTGAATGGAAAATATCTTTAGGAACAATAAAGAAAAATATGTAAGGCCAAGAAAGTTAGAAATTTACCAATTAAAACATATAAGGTAAATGAGTGAAATAAAACAAAGATCACTGCCTGGCAAAAAAACAACAAACAAACAAACAAACAAACACTAAGTCCAACAATCTGTTGTCCCTAAGAGACATGAGTAAACCCAAATAAAAATGTCTCTACAAATTGAGCTTTCATTTAAGATTTATATGTCATTGCAAACCTGCCAAAATTGAATGTTACTCTTATGAAAATAATATTAGATGTTAAGTATATGAAACTATGAACAGTTAAGAAGAGGACATGTTAATGTTTAAGCATTATAGCAATATCCTGAAGAAATATATTAAAATTGTGAAATATAATTATAACTGAAAACCTCAGAAGAACATCACAGCAGACTGAAGAGATAAGGAACTAAATTCTTCTCAACAAACCAGATCCACTGATCAACATCCCCTCTTGATCCAATACCTCTAAATCTCTTAAAGACAAATAGTAAGATATAATTAGGTATATCGTAACAAAAGTTTTTGTTCATTTCTGTTTGCTACTTTCAACTTCTCCACTCATTTTAATCTCAAAAATAGTTATGATGTCCAATCAAGCTCAATGCCACACTGTGCATTGTTCTATAAGTTGCCATGTGGGCCACTTAATAGATATTTATACTTGATGATTAGTAGTCAATAAACTGTTTGTTGAATAAACACATATATGCCATTATGAGAACAATAGCAACAATATAACAAAATAGACATTGGTTGAAAAGAATTCCAAATGTATGAATAGTAGTTTCTTTTCTCCCTACAAGCTGAATAAGAATAAAACCTTCCTTTCTTTAAAATCCAACTTACTATTTAAGATTACAAATCAATTTAATTAATACTCAGTAAAGTTAAAAAAAAAAAAATGTATTCCTACTGACCTTGTGAGAATGTAAGGGGAGAATGAAGCTGGATTATCTTGTTCTGAAAAGAGGGGCATCGATCCTCCCATTATCCACAGGCGGAAGTACAACACAACAATCACCTTCAGAGGAAAGAAGATCTGGTAAGAAAAGCATTGCTTGTAAAATACGGTAGTTTATTCATACTGTGTCATGGCGTTCACATGTCCGTAGAATTCTTTCTCATGTGGCTTCTAAAGCTTTGTAGCATTTATGGCACGTTCACTCTTGGATCCTAAGATCAAGGTATTAGAACAGTGGTTCTCAACCTTTCTAATGCAATGACCCTTTAATACAGTTAGTCCTCATGCTGTGATGTCCCCCAACCATAAAATTATTTTCGTTGCTACTCATAACTGTAATTTTGCTAGTTAATGAATCGTAATGTAAATATCTGTGTATTTACTGCTGATTCTATTAAACAATCTGGATCATGTCTCTGAGCCATGTTACAGTGAAACATCTCTTAGCAGATAATTCAAAAGCATATATATATATATACTTACATAACTTATGACCAAAATGGCCCTTTTTAAGAATGGCCGCATGGTAAGCAGGAAATTTCTATTACTGCTTGCAGTCAGATACCTGAAACAGGAAGAAAAAGAAAATTTTAAATATGTGTCGGAGTCCACCACACATTAACATTCTCCTTTCAGTCTGACGACGCTGCAGCTCTGAAAAGGCTGAGAAAGACCGAAACTAGGAGTGTGGCTTCTGGGGCCAGACCACTTGGGTTTCAGTCCCAGAGCCCTGGTGCTTCCTGGCTGGGAGACTTTGGCCAAGTTTCTTAACCTCTTTGCACATCTATTTTTCTCACTTTATAAAAGGGGGGATACGAATAGTATCAAACAGAAGAACTGTGAGGAATAAACGAGACAATATGTAGAACAGGGCCTAGGAGTTCTGTTAGCTGTAAATATTACTATCCCATCTAATCCCAATAACCCAGGCATTCTGTTGTTACACTAATCACAGGGATGATTTAAAACAAAATTGGAGTTTATTTGCCTACTCCACGTAGTTTGAGAAGCACAATGTCTTCTACTCACAAAATTATTTCACCAATGTTTTACTCCTAAAAACAGAGAATGTCAAGGCTATGTGGGGTAAATTTATCCAAGGTAAAGTTAGTAACCACCGGTGGTGGGATCAGAGCTCAACCATAAGCAACAGATTATCTCACCTGCTTGAGGCTTTTGGAACCAAACTGGATTATAAGAATGTCAGCTTCTAGTGGAGCAGACCCTGCATCTGCCACAGAGCTCTCACTTGAATAAAATAAGAGCTCCATATATCCACCTATCGCACATGCAATCAGGTGGGTTTTTCTTTAAATATATATATTTTATTGATTTTTTTTTTTTTTTTTTTTTTTTTTTTTTTTTTTTTTTACAGAGAGGAAGGGAGAGGGATAGAGAGCTAGAAACATGGATGAGAGAGAAACCATCAACCAGCTGCCTCCTGCACACCCCCTACTGGGGATGTGCCCGCAACCAATGTACATTCCTTTGACCAAAACCAAACCTAGGACCTTTCAGTCTGCAGACCAACGCTCTATCCACTGAGCCAAATAGGTTTCGGCTGTGATCAGGTGGTTTTAATAAAGATAATGAAAGGGAAGCAAGAGGGGCCTGTTACCAACCCCAAGCAAAAAACTAACGCAAGGCATTTTCACCTACATGCACATTTCTATATTTTTAAAGTACAGGATGGAGGGGGAAAAGTCAAATTGAATAGCATCATCCAGCAAGCATGCACCAACTCATCCTTATTTCCCCTAAGCTTTTCCATTTTTTCTATGACTACTTTAAGCCCAATTTCTCCTCAAAGAACTGATCTGCAGAATCTCTTAAAATTTGCATTTGAATGAGGTCTCCTTACACAATGGGACTATTCTGTAGGACAGAGATCCTTTTTTAAAACCTGAGTGGGTTAGTACCACAAAGAAATGTCCACCTTGGTAATTCCTATCAAAATATGTATGAGTCTTCTGCTTTGATTGGATGTATGAATAAAAGGTGTCCACACAGCACTGTAAGGAGGTGACAGTGTCACTCAGGGGCAGGTCTCTTCCCTTTTCATCTCCTGGTTGGGTTGGTAAACAGCTGAGAATCTGACCTTTCACGTATTTAATGAGTGGAGAGAAGGTGAGCCCAAAACACCACCCAGAGTCCGCTTTTAGCAAGCTCTGGTCTGGATCCATCCCCAGGCACTGCACGAACGTCCTTTCTTCTCCCTTAGCTCTCAATAGAGAGGTTGGCAGGAGCAAGGCCAGGAATTCTGGCAACTCCCACCACACAGGTGCATCAATAATGTCCCAAAATAGGCTCCGGGAGCCCACACATCCTGAACGCACAAGATTTTCAGTATGTTTGCATTTGTGTGTTTTTCTGAGGCCAATTCCTTGGCTTTGATCATCAGTGTTAACTTGGTCTGTGATTACAAAAGAGATGCAATCCCTGCTAAGCATGTCCTCTCAGCTCTGCCTTTACTCTGGCAATCATTTTCCAAATAATTCAACAGAGACCAGCCCTGGATATTTCTGCCATTCCCTCTGGGAGATAAATGGCTGCAGGGAGGGGAAGGGCAGGAGAAGGGGGGCTGGGGGGGACTGGAGTTGCAATGCATCTGAATGAAAAAGTACTTCTTGGGTTGTTCTGCTTGGGGAAGCTTCATGTCTCCATGACACTGGTTTATTTTAACACAGTGTAAAATGTAGAAGTGGTTTCCTTTCTATAAAGCAACAAACCCTAGGGTTTAGGATTTTTTTCAATGGTAAACTTTGGTAAGTTCATAGTTTGCTTCACTTCAAGTTCACTATGATGGTTGTTTTTATAAGGTATCTTCTTGTTTAGAAATTCTTCCTCCGTGAGAAATCCCATTTCCTTGAATGTTAACCTCTTATAGTCACCAAATAATTTACTCTTAAAATACAGCATCCTGAAGCAATGACAGCCTAGAATGATGCAGAGAGCAGTGGCTGGGGAAAAAAAAAAAAAAAAAAGACCTATTTTCAAGTCTTCTATTTTTAGTTGCTACCAATATTAAGTAACAAAATAAGCCAAAATGGCATGGCCCCCTTTTTTTGACAAACACAAGGTCAGGCTGAGATCCCTAAGCTCAGACAGGGAGCACCCCAGGGCTGAAGGCTCTGCATCTTTTCCTCTTCTTCCCAGAATTCACAACAAAAACATATAATAACAATATTATTATTAATGATAAAAATGGAAAATAATTAATGTGTGCCTGAGTGATTACATTGTAGCAACTTATTTACCACTTACAACAAGTCTATGAGGCAGAACATTCTAATTCCTTTTTACAAAGCAGGAGAAAAAAGAAAACAACCAAAAAATTAGAAGCAATACTTAACTGTTATAGCAGAGTCTCTTAGCTATTCATTTCAAACACAAGCTAAAATATCTGAGGTGCCTTATAAAGCACTATGCAAATGCCATCACTGACTTATATTCCCAGGAAGCTAGAGAAAATCCCAACAACGAAACCAAACCACTGAGGAAACCACTAGAATGGGAACCAAGCATCCAGGGTTCTACTCTTGTGCTTCCAACTCATTTCTTAAGTGACTTGGAACAAGTCCATAGGCCTTCTGTCTTTTGTTGTGTGAAAGAAAAGAGCCACAAGCTAACCTGACAAGCTCAGGGAAGGCCTTCGTGGCAGTCTTGCAAACCCAGAGACCTAAGGTAACCACAAAAGATGGTTTGAAAATTAAATATCTAATAGGTTATAGTAGGTAGTCATGTCCCAGATATTTTCCCAGACAAAGATCAACTTTGATCTTTTTACTGAGCCCATTTGCCTTTTTGCCTCTAAGATAACATATCTGTGAGATGTCTGGGTAACTTGTAACTTCCCTTTTTCCAGAGCCCCTGGGGAACAACCAAATGTGGTGGGCACCAGGACAGATGCCTCAAATTCCTTCTTTATCATGTTAATTGTTCCTGCACTCACCTGAGTATACATCCATCATTTTACTTTTTATCCAATCCCAGGAGTTTCCCACCACTTTGTTTTAACCCGCCTCCTTAGTCCATCACCAATGAATTTCATGTAACTCACCTATGTCCCTCCTTTGATTTCAGTGTATAAATAGAGAAATGTAACCCGCCATTCTTCGGAGCATTATCTCAATCCATTGAGGTTTTGCTTCCCGGCAATTGTCGACAGTTTTGGCTCAAATAAACTCATTAAAAAATTCTTTACAGGTTTCAATGGTTTTTTTCGTTAACAGTTGTTTCCCCCGCCCTGTATCAATGAGAGGTGGACTAAATGGTTTCACTGTCTCTTTCAGTTATATATTATTGTGATGTGTAGATGTTTCACCAAATGATGACATCAGAAATGACAACTGAAGAAAAGTAGAGAGAAACCTACTGAAAATTTAAGGAAAAATGCCAAGGGATTAGGAAAATATTAATGGGTTCCCATTTGAGTAGACCCATCATAATTGCAGTTGCATATAAAAACACATTATTTGTTTTGTAATTTAATTTTTATTGAGGTAATATTGGCTTATAACAATTAAATCAGTTTCGGGTTATGCTCACCACCATAAGTCCAGTTTCCATTCAACACCATCAACTGAGCCCCTTTACCTGTTTTGCCTTCCCTCTATCCCTGTTCCCCTCTGCTCACCACCAATCTGTTGCCTGCCTCTATAAGCTTGTTTTTCTTTTGTTTTTTCATTTGCTTTTTTTCTTTCTAAATATATTTTTAATTGATTTTCAGAGAGGAAAGGAGAGGGAGAAAGAAACATCAATGATGAGAGAGAATGGAGAATCATTAATAGGCTGCTTCCTGCATACCCCCTATAGCACATGTGTCAAACACAAGGCCCGCGGGCCAAATCCGTCCCGCCAGGCCTTGCAATGTGGCCCGCACCGCGCTGTCATCACTGCACTCTGCTGCGTTTCCATCACAATGACAGTTTATGACTGTTCAGTAAACCATTCGGCCCGAGATTTAGGCTGGATTTTAGATTTTGGCCCCTTCTCTGATTGAGTTCGACACCCCTACCCTATAGGGTATCAAGCCTACAACACCTTCCCCCTCTTCTTCCCTCAGGCCCATTTTCTCTGCCTTTCTTTATCCTATGCTCTGATGCTCTCTCTTCCTTTGCCTCTGCAACTTCCTTCCTGAGTCTGCACAGCCCAGCTGGCTCATTTCTTCCTCTACCCACCATGTGAGTTTCTGAATAAACTTTTGCTAGTATTTGAATTTCTTGGCTCAGGATTATTTCCTTAGCCAAACTCAAGGATGAAAGTCTAACATTCTGGTGCAATTTGCCATTAACAAGCCAACGCTCTTCTTTTTTCTGTGTTTTCCTTACCCTCCAGTACTATACCAGGGTCCAAAATAAGAAGGGTAGGTACTGTTTTCCTTACCTTAAATCTTGGTGGTTTCAATGAAGATATTATATTGTACTTTCCAGCTCTTCTCAGAATCTCTCAAAACCTGGTAATTTTGCCTGAATACCAGCTCCACTGGCAAACATCTCAGACATAAAAAGCTATTGCTATTTAACGTTGTACTGATAAATTATAAAATGCTATATCCCAAATTCC